CCCCCCCCCCCCCGACATTAAACACCAGATATCCTTTTGGTAATTTTTCACCAAATAGCCCCACCCTGCCCCATCATGCACAACATTTTGCCCAGTGCCTACCCAGTGGGTGAGCTTGGGCCCATTTCCATGAGGGTGATGACCCTACCTGGGCACCTTTAACCCTTTAGTGCCCAGGACTCTTTGGAGTGTCCAGCCACACTCACCTCAGGTATTTCTACACTCCATTTTTACGCCACATACCTGGAACCAAACATGAAGAAAACAGACAATAAGAAGAAAGAAACGAAAGAGCAAGGGGAAAACATTTAAGAGACCATATGCTACTCTTTTGTACTATGTACCTCTATATTTAGGATTTATTTAGGTAAATGACCCCTCTTATGATTGGTTGACCTCTTTGCATGTGAAATTAGTTATAATGCTTATTCGTGTGATGAGGGTTTATAGTTGGGTCCAGTTTAGTATGTTTTTTGTCACAATCCATGCAGAAATTAACCTGCTTTTATTAATTTTATTAATTAGCTTTAATTGTTAAGATCAAACTGAAATGATCAGGAATCTTCTTAAACAAACTACTGTAAATGAAGGCAGGAACAAACAGAAGGGATTTATGATTGGCGGTCAGGATAGCTGACAAGAGGAATAAAGGAAAATGACTTTTCCAGGTTGTGTATCTGATCGCAGCGGAAGCATACAGCCTAACTACTGGACTGAGAGAGTTGCTAATATGAGGGAGAGGTCAGAAAGGTGCATCTGTTAATATGAAACTGGAAACAAATGCATGTAAAAGCTCTTTTTCAGACTTAGTAAAGAGCATGAGAACAGATTCTGGGAATCGACATGTCAGATGACCTGAATGAAAGCATGAATGGAAGAAATATGAACCCAGATCATTTTTTTTCTTCCTGAAATACCAGAATCTGAATGCTTTGAAATAGTAATATTATATGGTTCTGTCTATGTGTTTGTGTACATCCTCCTCAGTCCCTGAACAACTGTAAATATGTAAATGTGTATACATTTTCTTTTCCACAAAAAGTTTTTTAGACTAGGTGGACAAACACAACACATGACATGTACCATGCATACAAAACGTGAATGGCTGTCAGATTTATATTAATAAAGACCTGTTCACACAAGTCTGACGCAATTAAATGCGAAAGTGTAAAATGCCTGCAAATAATTTTGCACTACAGAGGTGTTCATGCAGAATCTGATGCTGAAATTCCCATTCTCATCGAATGTATTTTTTGGCATCTGAACACTAAAAACTGTAGCCAAATATTTACAATATTTTACAAAAATATACAATATAAACAAAAAGTACAATATTTCAGACTTTGTGTGGAGTATATTATAAAGATTTAATATTTTGTTTTAAAATGTTTTTATGCCACATTTTAAGGCCTGATGGATATAGTTTTATATATATACAATATTTCTAGAACTCAAATTTGAGTTATAAGGCATAAAACAGTAGAAACAATAACATTTAAGGAAAAAATATACGTAACATTGTTTGAGGGGACAAATAGAGCTTGCAAACTGCACTGATTATCTTTCCCAGCATGACTTTCTTAAAGAAACTGCCTTGAATCCTTGAGTGTTGTTTTCCCCTACCACCAATCCCACCAACCCCACTTCCATTTGCACTCACGTCTTTAGTTCCCGCATGAAATAAGTTTATTAGGTGATTCATAAAGAGGCATTTGGATGTGCCTCTTTGCTATAGCTCTTTGCTATCATGGCTAGATTCTCCAGTTTTCCTTTCTCTCCCTCTCTCTGCACACAGCGATAGTGCGCTCAGAACGGCAGGCGCTCTGGGGTGACTGGCGCTCCCTGGCTGTGAGCGTGGGAACAGTTCCCATATCTCTGCTGTCTCTCACAGAGTCTGTTTTTAACCTTTTACTCAATTTCAGGGAGTGACTCGTATCTGTGTGTATGTATCTGTGCATGTTTATTTAGTATTTTGTGTACAGAGTCCAAAATTAGCACTTGCAGAGCGTCAAGAGCGTTTGGTGAGTAAATGAACGTATAATTTACCCATTTTCTAGAAACTGGAAAATGTAATTTCGTGACCACCAGAGAAAATAGTCAAATATTACTGAATAGGTCTTATTTTACTTTATTTTATTTTATTTTATTTTGTCATAGGGACAAATACACAATGTGTCTTGGTAAATAATGTGAAATACAATATTTTGACTGGGAATAAAAGTCTGTATTTATGATAAGTTTTTCCTAATTTGCCAGCCAATGCAGGTGTAGCAAAAAGTTAATTTTGGACTCTGTTTGTGTATGTATTTTTGTATTTGTATTTAAATTGTTTTAAGTGTTCACACTAGATTAGGTGTCCACATATAAACCAAACTAGGAGCTCTGCCATTATTTTGTGATTGTATTCTCTGTCTCATGTTGATATTTTTCCTGCTTCAAAAACCCCATTCTTTCCCTGTGCCTTTTTCTGTCTCTGTGTGTGTTTTGTGTCTTTGTATGTGTCTCTGGCTCTGTCTGTCTCTGTCTTCCTGTCTCTGATCATCTCTCAACACCTACAGCGGAGGAGGCGGTGGGGAAGGAGAGGGGTAATGTCTCTTTCTTTCTCCCTTTCCCCTCTGTTTGCTCTTATTGCCTGTCCTTCTCATCACACGCCTGTCCTCTCCTTCTATAGACTGCTCTGTCTGTCTGATTGTTCGTCCAAATGTCCCTCACACATAGAACACAAGCCAAGGGCGAGGTCATGTCATTCTTTAGCCAGCTGCAGTAACTCAATCTTACAGCTAATCAACTCTTGGTACATTCTACAGTATGTGGACACCTAAATGTGTTAGCATACGTGTTTGTGTCTATGTGTACGTGTGTGTCTCTTTGTTTCTGTGTCGGGCCTTCGAATACGATTTCTCTAAAATGTCCAACAAGTGTGGTATGACTGATTTACAGCAGGTAAAATGGTCATGAATACTTGAGTCTAAGTGTGTTTATTATTTTGGAAAGGCAGCTTTTAAATATATATGTATTTTTAAAAATGTTTTAAAGTTCCAATTAAATTTCATTAAACTTATTTAACGGTAAAATAAAAATATATATATATATATATGTTGGCATGTTCTGAACTTGTAATGGGACATTTCAAGCTAAAATGGCTTCTGTTGTCCCTGTTATAAAGTTTATCACGTCTTTCTTCGAATACGATTTCTCTAAAATGTCCAACAAGTGTGGTATGACTGATTTACAGCAGGTAAAATGGTCATGAATACTTGAGTCTAAGTGTGTTTATTATTTTGGAAAGGCAGCTTTTAAATATATATGTATTTTTAAAAATGTTTTAAAGTTCCAATTAAATTTCATTAAACTTATTTAACGGTAAAATAAAAAAATATATATATATATATGTTGGCATGTTCTGAACTTGTAATGGGACATTTCAAGCTAAAATGGCTTCTGTTGTCCCTGTTATAAAGTTTATCACGTCTTTGTTATGTCTTTTAAAATCACAGTTCATTATTTTGAATATTTGTTTCATAAATAAATTATTTATGTGGTGTGACATGGAGGAAACCAATAAATTATCCTGTTTTAATTAAAATAATATTTTTATATAAATGTGATGGGTAGTATGAATAGGTAAACCAGTGTACACTTTATTATGGGAAAGTAAGTTGTTGTAAAAAAAATTTTTTGACAACAATATTATTTTTAACAATATTACATTTATT